GACCTTGCCCCCTCTCACCACTTTCATAACCCAATCACACCATAAATCTGGAAAGCCTTTTGATTTCAACATTCTATATACAAACACCCAATCAACCTTGTCATATGCCTTTTCAAAATCAACCTTAAAAAGGATGCCACTCTGTTTTTTCGAATGTAAAGAGTTCAGAAGTTCGTGTAGAATGACAATCCCTTCCATGATAAACCTATTCTTGAGAAAGGCTGTTTGGTTCTTGGAAATAATATACATCATGACCCTGTCCAGTCTATTCATCAACACCTTGGTGATGATCTTGAAAGTCACATTGAGTAAGCAGATAGGCCTGAACTTTTGTATTTGTGCAGCATCTTTTGTTTTAGGGACAAGAGTAACAATGCCATAATTCAATCTCTCGACACTCAGTAAACCTTTATGAAAGTCATTAATCAGTTCCAAGAGATCATTTTTGATAATGTCCCAGAATTTCATGTAAAATTCCCCAGGGAAGCCATCTGGCCCTGGGGCTCTGTTTTTTCTCAATTCAAAAACGACTTTCTTCACCTCCTCTAGACTGAAAGGCTTGGTTAATTCCACTATATCTTCCTTCTTAACTTTGCTCACACCCTCCATGTTTAAAGAGACATTGTTTTCTTTAGAATGACCAAACAATTCTTTATAAAAGCTGGTAATATAGGAAAGCAAGTTTTGTTGGCCAGAAATCACACCATCCTCTTGCACAAGTGAGTGGATCAAGCTCTTCCTTTTCCTTCCATTTGCCTTAGTGTGATAGTATTTGGTATTACAGTCACCTTCCAAAACCTCCTTTTCTTTGCACCTTTGGAACCATTTAATTTTCTCCTCTCTAACCACATATCTGAGTTGAGCATCAAGGGCTCTTCTATTATTCATAATGTTAATATCCACCCCAACAGTTTCAGCTAGGATATCAATCTCTTCAATCTTATCCATGATTTCTTTTTTCCTCCTTCTGTATTCTCCTTCCCAGTTTTTGTTCCAGCCTTTCAGTTTTTTTCTTAAAAACTTCAGCTTCTTCTGCCATCTTTCCATGCTGTCCCCCCTATAGTCAGAGTTCCAAATCTCTTCCACTACTGAAGTAAGATCCTCCCTCAGAAACCAACTTTGCTCAAACCTGAATATACTCTGAGGAGCCATATTCTGTCCTGTTTCCATTAACATGGGATTATGGTCAGACATGGCCCTAACCAAAGTCCTAACAGTGGTAAGGGGGTAAATGTCTTCCCATTCATTGTTAATGAAAACTCTATCTAGTTTCTTTAGAGTGGGAGAGTTCTGAAAATTACACCAAGTGAACTGTCTCCCACTCATCTGAACTTCTCTAAGATTTGCCTGATCAATGATGGAGTTAAAAATGAAGCTTCATTTTGTATATCCACCTATCTTGTTTTTTTCACTTTCCTTTCTCAAAATATTGAAATCACCACCCACCACTAAAGGGGAACCTTGGGAGTAAAATTCCTTAGCCAATTCAGTCAGGAATTCAGCTTTCTGTTCAGCTTGCGCTGCCCCATATACTGCCATAAAATCCCAGACATTTTTGTTGTCAGCATTCAACAATTTAAGTCTTATGAAATACTTCCCAGTTTTCTCATTTAATACATTGACTTTGTCCTTATCCATTCCCACCAATATTCCCCCAGATCTACCACGAGCAGCCATCCAACACCAATGCATATTTCTCCCTGAGCTTAGTTTGTTTAACAATTCAGTTGAAAAATCATGTTTAACTGTTTCTAGAATAGCCACAAAGTCCAGTTTGTGATCCCTAATTAGGTCTTGTAAATGACCTGTTTTTTCAATGTTACCCATTCCCCTGATATTCCAAAATAAGCCTTTCATTTCTTTTTCTTTTTTACTTTACCTCTTTTCTTTGAACTCTTGGGAGTGACCTTGAAAATCTCAAGGTTTCCCCTCCTCTGATTGCTTTTTTTCATTGAAGACTAGACTTGTTTCAGCATCTGTTCAATCTCATCAAGAGTAGAATTGTCAGAAGAATCATCTGACCACTCTTGATCAGTAGACATGCCTTCCATTTCTTTTTTCTTTAATTCAGCATTTTTATCTGCTTCACCCTCTTTCATAAAGAGGTTAATTCTAGCAGATTCCAGATTTTTAATCAAATTCAAGTTACTTTCCACATCTTCAATAGCACATCCTAAACTAACACCCAGAATATTCGCCATGTTGATAAGAGAGACATTTGATTCATTAATAATAGAGGGTACTGTATTCTGACCTTTGTTGACAAAAGCATTCTGAGCTTCCTTTCTTTGCATGGCCATATCTTGTGGCTTCAAGTCTTCCTTTTCCTTCAGTCTTTTACTCCTTCTCATCTCCTCTTCTTGACTACCTGTATTGTCCTCCACTAAGTTGATCCCCAGTCTTTTGGCAAAACTTCCTTCAGATTCTTGTGAATCCATATAATCCTCACTGTCACCCAAGTGCACTCTTTCATCTTCCCTGTCTATCCCTTCATCACCCACCTCAGTTGCCTCAGAGTCGATTGTGTTCACTGCCATCCCTCTATTTCCAGCCTGCTCCCATTTTTTGTCTTGTGTCAGAAGAACTTGTGTTTCCTCCGTCAGGATTGTCTCACCACTGGTCATACCTACTTCTATGCCACAATCTGTGGTCGACTTAGCCTCTGCTTCCTGAAGCTGAAAAGCCAGCGCTCTGTCTCTCAGTATCTGAGCACACTTGATTTGACTTTCCTCAATCATTGTAGTAGGACACAACATATCTGTAGGATCATCCTTTGAGCCATTGCCTCTTAGCAAAATACCAGGACTGATCTTATCACCCATCTCCATAATCTGCTTGCCATCCCTTTGACCAGATTTCTGACCACTTTTCAGGAAACTTTCAGACCCTACCTGAACTTCCTCAAAGATACTCTCATTGAACCATCCTTGCTCAACAACTTCTTCCAGCTCAAAGTGGGCTTGATACAGCAGACCTTTAGGTGTAGTAAGGATTAACTTCAAGGGCAGCGACTCAAGCTCCATCATCCCAACTTTAAATCTTATCACATTGCTAGCCCTAAAGGTGGCCATGTCAACTTCCATAACTGTTCCCAAGTTAGATCCCACTTCATATAGGGCCTGGTAACCTCTCATAGCATCAGGAATGCCAGACACCTTCACCCAAGCAGTATGCATCTTCCCCACTGCATCAGACTCTTGTGTCCATTCTTTCACATTGACTTGAACATCAGTCCCCTTAACATTGAAGTAGTCAAAGTTGGATAGCTCTTCAAATTTTATCTTGTTTGGGAACCTCATCTGAAAAGTCCCATTGGGCATAGCTTTTGCTTTCCATTGCCAATTCCACTTAAATTGCTGAGTGAAGCCTTGTTCAAGCTGAGATTCAGTAAATTCCCTCCCAAAGACAATAGACACCATTGCCAAAGGATTTGCATGCTCTTTAGGAGAGTCCGGCCTAGTGTTTTGAATAAGAATGCAACCTAAACCAGGGGCACCATACCCAACAAGCTTAGCAACTGGCCTTGGTTGCTTGTCATACAAACAATCCTCAGTTCTATGAGATGGCTTGGCACAGTTAATGCAGAAAACAGAAACGTTGCAATCCCTAGCCAGATGACCCACATTTTTGCATCTCTGACAAAAAAATCTTTGTGGGATAGGATTGTTACCAGCACGGGGATTGGATTGCAGAGGTTGTTCTGGCTGCAGCACAGAGGTATCACCCTTCTCTGTTTCCTTGGCTGGTTCCTTATGCTGAATAGGGCGATACTGCTGCTTTGTTGCTCCTCGTGCAGCCATGGTTTTGGCTTGATCCCCCAAAGCTCCTCCCCCAATCCCCTGCAGCGACTCACCTCCCGTTGAAAACGTCGGAGCTTGTGGCTTTCTCCCCTCGCCGAAGTTTCGCATCGGCCTTGGATTGAAACGCCCACGCCATGCACCTCCCCCTTGATTCGCCATTGCCCCCAGTCGACCTCGCACTACCTTCGAAAATCGCCGAGTGTCTCCGTGAATTGTGCTTCTCCACTTCGAAACTAAATAACCACATCATGAATATGCATCTTGCTATGTCATATTTTCTATAGAGATTTATTAATATGGAGGTCATCTTTGAACGTAAAACACCAAGAGAAAAAGAATTTGGCAGCAGAAAAGGTCGCTTTTCTTCCTGATACCATGGCAGAGAAGCACTTAAGAAATAACCTGATGAACAAGTGTGCTCAACCAGCTCTCTCCAAAGTGCATGTAGCTCAATAGAATCCATTTAATTGTGTTCTTGTCAAAATATTCTTAAAAGAATTTGTAGACGTGATCACTGGCGGTATGTCATTCTTAAATTAGACCAATCAATTATAAATCTCAAGTGAAAAACAACATGAAACCGACCTTAGCTCAGTTGGTAGAGCGGAGGACTGTAGTCGTTGCAGTTAATCCTTAGGTCGCTGGTTCGAATCCGGCAGGTCGGATTTAGCAGGTTTTTCTTCTCATTTTCTTATTTAGTAAATTCCACACTTCCAGGCTACACGCAAACTAAGGTGAGTTTGGTTAAGCCATAACCCTTGCCAAATTCTTTTGGCAATGGGAAGATTTGGCCATGTTTAAAATATTGGGCAAAGTTACCATAAGTTCAAATTTGTATAGCTATAGATGAATTCCAAATTTTTTTTGTTCCAAACAAAATAGGTGCCAATTTTTTTCTAGCATTGCCAATTATTTAGCATGGTTGAGTTTGGCTATAAACCAAACTAAGCCCTAAATTTTCACTTGATGGATTTGTCCCCCTATCAACCTTGGTAATCAGAAGGTAAATTCAAGATTTATGTGGAATACAGGTTGACAAGGCGTTCAATTTGCTGAAAACTGAAAATGAGAACGCCAATAGTCATGTCAGCGATTGGCTGAATGCACTGTAGTCATTTCATGAAAAAAGAGAACTGTATAAATATGGCATCGACAAAAAATGATCTAACATTCTCAGAAAGAGAAACAAGACGTACAAAATAAAGAACAGCCAACCGGCGTCTAAGGAAAAGACATGCTTTTATTTCTCATCAGGTGGCAGTACAAATTAACAGCAATTTGGTGAAACATGTTACTACATATGAAACAGACAAAATTACATTCTTTATAAATGCAAAACAATCCTTCTTCTCCATGACTTCTAAACAGCTCATTGCCGAAAGGAAATGCCCGCAAACATGTGTGCTGAAGTGAGGTAATCTCCCTTATTTGGGCGTTAAACCACTTGATAATTGGCTGTTACCAAACGAGCCCTCTGCGAATACTTTGGTGGGTTACCATCCTTTAGAGGACGAATTCCAGTAACCTGCAAGGTATGCAGAAAATAACATTACCATACAATAAAATGAGAAGGAACAACAAACATAGAACCACGAGTCTCATCTAATAAGGGAAAACCAACCTTCAAATCGCTGAATGTACTAGATGCGGAAAATCCAATTGATATGGGGAAAAATGTTGATGGATCAGCTGGGGGGACAACAAATTCCATGGAGCCACTGCAAACAGGGGAAAAAATAAGAGTTAGAGCCACAGGAAAAAAAAAACAAAATAAAACATGGTTATATGAACTCGTATTTCACTGACCTGCGGTTTGACTGATCGATAAGAAGAATGGACCATTCCAACACGGAGTTTCTCGAATCATACCTGTATGCAAAATGAAAGTGAAATAGGCATTATAACAATCAGCTTTCGCTGTGCGTTCTACCTTATTAGCATCAAGGAAATAAAAGTTTAGCTCTATCTACACAAAGTGTCATTTAGGACCAGTTCATCCAAGGGAATTGGACTAAATCCCGATAAATCCAAAACACATCCCCCTTTGAATCGCAGGAATGGAAAAACGGAGGAATAGGAAAAACGTAGGATTCTGACAGGAATGCAGGTGTAAAACAGAGGATTGGAAAATACAGGAAAAACACAGGAATGACCGTTTGATTGGACCACAGGAAAAACACAAGAATCGGATGAGAGAGATAGACTCAAAGGAATTTTTCCAAGAGGTTGGACCTCTTGCTAACTTTTCTCCAAAATCTCTATAGGATTAGCCATTCCATAGGAATTTTAAAGGATAGTATAGGATTCAATCCTTAATTTCAAAGGCTTCCATAGGAATTTTTTCCATAGGATTGAAATCCTTCAAATTTCCTACACTTTTCCTACAAATCAAAGGGGCCCTTAACAGTTTGAATGCCAATATGACAGTGCCAGGAACAATAGCTAGAAAGCATAGCTATCACTTGTTATTTTTCTAATATTAGCATCAATACTAAGGAGATAATTGTCATCTAACAATTAGTTGGACAATTATTTTAGTATAATATAACAGCCAAGTTCAGTACAGATAGAGATGAATTTGAAACATTACCTCCACTCTCCATCAATCTGTCTAACACTCGGAGCCTCCCGAAGTGCAGGCAATGGTATAGATATGACAACATTGTGCAGGTCAAACATCTCAGCAGCCTCATATTCAATGTTGACATAAGTTTCATTTCCAGATACCGATGGCCAGCAGTTGACTGAGCGAAAAAAACACAAGTTAATAAAAGTAGGAGGCAACCAAGAAAAGAAAAGGCATGATCTTCAATGTGATATAGAAGAAAGTAAAGTGATTGTGCACCTGATAGAGGTAACGATGACTCATCCATCCCATGAATTCTCCACTTAACCAGAGGAGTTTCATTTTGACCACTTGGGAATGGCCTGTTTGGATCTTTTGCCCCCACAACTTGTTGACTGTTAAACAAATCTTTGTTGATATTGGGGTGTGTTTTGAAGCTAAGTCCAGGTACATCCTGGTTTTCAATCTATAAGACACAAGTATCAAATAATCAGCTCCGACAAACAGTATCATGGACCAAACAATGTTTCTTGTCCGCAATGCAAAATATGGTGCAAGAATCATAGATGTAACTGAACGTAATAAAAAGAAATAATATTCCTCAGCAACAAAAACATGGCATGATAAGCATAAACAAAGTCACAAGCACAAATGTGATAGCAAAATTGGATATCATATGACATGGACTACAAAAAAAACAGTACATGGATTATCTTAGCAGGAAGGTCACCCAATATAACACATGCATTACATTTACTTAGTAGAAATATCGTATAGGTTCAAACAAAAACTGTCGTGCTATGTTCTTTGATCTGCTTGTGAAAATTTCTGTAGAAAAAAATCAAGCAGGATGCTAGAGGTTCAGAAAGAATGTTACCTGCAACTGGATAAACCCATCAGTATCATTAAGGACCTGAAGAGCAAGGGTTCCTTGCACATCAAAATTATTAACACCTCCATCTCTTTTAACTGTAACATTGAGTTTTTCTTCAATTGTCACTGTGACAGGATCACTTGGTGGAAGAGGCGACACCCTTGACTGAACTGAACTGGGTTGTACATCCTCCAGAATGACTTCTCCTTCAGCTTTCAAAGATTCCAGGAACTGATTCGTCTTCTGTGTTTTCCCTAATTTCATTCCAAGACCTTTACCAGGAGCAGTAGCAGCTGCAGATGGACGGCCTGTACAAACATTGCTAGCAAACATAAGCAATATATTATAGTTGATTGAACTTTGTCGAGCAGTTAAAATGGAAAGTAGGAATTATATAGACAAACATAGACATAATCAGGAGACTACTGGCATGGGAATGAAGATCTGAATATCAAGTACTGCAAGAAGAAAACCCAGAGCTTTACGTAGTAAATTTTCCCCTAATGCAAAGAGTTAATATCTGCCAAGAGAAATGCAAAGAGTTTTTAAATTACCACCTTTAGGCTTGCTAGCAAATGAGTCCATATCCATGCTCAGTCCACCTAATCCAGAACCACTTCCAAATCCACTACCAGTAATGCTCATGTCACCAAATGCTTTTTCAACTACCCTGGGACCTGATATTGCCGAGTATCCTCCTTTGTCAAGTTTTCCTCTTTCCATCTGCATGAACACCGACCACAAAATTCACCTCTTAGACATTAAGAAATAACGGCAATGCAATTGTATTTTAAACACTAAAGTTTGCGCGAACTGATATCAATTGTAACCAAAGAAATGACAAGCTGGCAGTAAAACAGCACAGAGTCATAAGGTCAAACTAGCAATAATAATGTAATATCGATTTTCCTAATGGTCAAAGTCAACTACATTAACTGTCATTTATTTTCTCTGAAGATATAATATGTATTTTTAATCTGAAGAAAGGTGCAGTGCAGACCTTCATCTTATCAAGCTCACTGGCTTTCTTCTTCATCACATCCCTTGTTTCATTGATTTTGCTTTGCATCATCAGCTTGTGCGCCTTCTCTTCATGGCTCTCCATCTCACAATATTGTTTGACTTGTTGGACTGTTACGTTTTCCTTATTTCCAAGACAGATGGCCTCATCGAAGGCAAATATAAGCTCAAATGCTGTTTTACAAACACCCTCCTCATCAAGAGAGGGAGAATATTCAGGCACCTGTGGAACTGTTAAGGAGATCACAGTACTTGATTATTGCCAACAAAGAAAACCAATGCAGTGTAGTAGCATCTCTAACGGTGGATATCCATAAAGCCCCAAAACATAACAGATTCCATTAAAAAAATATGATAGGTTCATGATTGTATAGCTTGCATGTTGTTTTTTATCAAAATTGAATTGTGTTAATGTAGTGACTTTATTTTCTTTGTTTTTTTTAGAAAACAAAGGAGAGCTGCACTTCATTTCATTAAGAAGGAAAAACAAACCACCCATACAACCAAGCGCTAACAAGCCCTTCATCCAAAACACATCCACAAATAGCATCACACAAGGCGACACATGACCAAAAAACCACCCTACGACAGCCTAGTGCCCTTAAGATAACGACCTACAAAGGAAAACTTGGAGCACAAGAGCTCCAGCCAGGCACCAAAGCGTAGCTTCTGTTGACACTGCCCGCAACGCCTACATAACGTTTGGATTCGCTCAATTGAATACACAGTCATTATAGTGTTTCCAAATTTCCCAAGCAACTATGATAAACAATAATTACTTTTCTTTTGTCTCCTTGGTAACATATAATGATAAGCTCAACTAAACAAAGACATTATAATCTTCATTTTGTCCTACAAAACAAACATTAATAGCATTATCTGATATTTAGTCTGTACATTGCAATATATGGGTAGGTTAAAAGAAAAAAATTTTATATGTTTCATATTATAGCATTATCTGATATTTTGTCCCCTTGGTGGTATATAGTGACAAGCTCAACTATACCGAGACATTATAATCTTCATTTTATCCCACAAAACAAACGTTGGTAACATTATCTGATATACATTTATTCACTACAGAGCAATATATGTGTAGGTTAAAAAACCATGTTTCATATGTTTCATAGGATAGGATTGTATAGGTTAGTTAGGTCAAAAAACTGGAACAATGAACATATGGGAAAAAAGGATACAAGCTTAGAGAGCAGCCTCAAGGTGTCCAGATCTTCAAGAATATTGCTCTGCTTGTTAGTGATAAGTAGCAAGTACAGGCCTTCTATTGGCTGATAAACATAGCGAACATTTTCAGTCTCAACATAAGTGTGCTGCTTCCCAGTTCCAACCAGTTTGGGGAAAGCTGCAAGTAATCCTTCAATCCTTATGCGAGACATGTCAACAAACTGTCTTGAAACAAGTGCTGCAGTTGAAAAGCGCAGAGAAGAAACAGCATTCAGTCTAATCACATTAGCTTTCTGGAAGGAAGCATCAGCAAATTGGTAACCAAGAGGTGCTCACTACATAGGATTTTAGGGTCATAGGAGTTAAGAATCTACTGAGGCAACACGACAACGGCTAGATTAGTATTTGGGTTCCACAAATTTGCATATGAGCTAACAATCTTATGAGCACAGGTGACAGGTAAAAACTTATACAAATACAACAGTTTCTTTTTCTATGCACAAAAGAATTTGTTTTGATTACAACATAAGAATATAAATTTAAAAAGACTTCTTTTTTTCACTGAGAATAATGCAATACAATATATTAACAACAGAATATTTCAAGCCAGCTAACCTTTCCCGGACTTTGAAATGATGGAAGCAGCAAGAACCACCTGCGGTACACAAAAAACAATAATAAGCTCTCCTAAACGAATCAACTAGTTGCTTATACCAGCAAAAGAGCAAATGTCAGAATGTCCCTTCTTAATATTACAAAGAATAATAAACCATTAGGCATACCATTTTGAATGGATTTTTTGGTACTCAGAATTGCTGCACTTAAAATGGATTCAAGAATTATGCACCTGCCAGAAGTGGAAAAAAAGAAGAGGTTATTCAATCAGTGCAACATAATCAGAGATCTCCTGCGAACTAGATCCAACCCCCCCCCCCCTTTTTTTTTTTGCTTCCAGATCTTACTACTAGCAGGGGCGGATCCAACTTGGGAAATGGGGGTTGAGTTGAACCGGCAAACTTTTGGGAGAACAAACAAACTGTTAGTTCTACTAAGGTTAAGGCTCTGAAATTAAGAGAAGAGCTTCTTCCAGATCTACAAGAGAAGCTGGGGTTAACGCAACGCAAGCAAAATTCCAGACAAAAGTACTCCCGGTGGGGGGAGAGAGAGAGAGATGAATCGGAAAGAGGATGTGGATGCTCACCAGGATCCCCTCCCCTCGCCTGCTCTGCTCTGCTCGCCAGATGGAGATCGGCGCCCCTACCCTGTCAGCCGCGAGATGGCGCAAGGAGGGGAGACGAGACGCGAGATTTTCCTTTAGGCGAAAGGAAGGAGAAGATAGTCGAGGACTCCTTTTATCTCAAATTTACTATGACTGGTGGGCCATATGTCAACGGTACTTGAAAAAAAAAATGGAACTAGCTCAGTTATTAGGTACTGTGTCGATAGCAAACCGCTCAGTTACTAGATGCTCTACGTTCGTGGCCTGTTTTTAAGCCCTCCGGAATTTTATTATTTAGGTAGATTACTGATAAAACCTATTCCATAGCCTCTAGGCTATTTTGCGAGACGAATCTAACGAGGTATGTTAATCCATGATTTGCCACAGTGATGCTACAGTAATCAGCCGCTAATCATGGATTAATATACATCATTAGATTCGTCTCGCAAAATAGCCTAGGGGTTATGGAATCGGTTTTGTCGGTAATCTACGTTTAATACTTCTAAATAGCAAGATTCCGGAGGGCTATTTAATAGCTCGGAGGATCCAAACAAGTCCCGTATCTAGGTTCTCCCAACTCTCTCCTCTCCTTTTCCACACGCACGCTTTTAAAACTGCTAAATTGTACATTTTTAAAAAAAGTTTTTATACGAATGTTGCTTAAAAAATTATATTTGTCCTTTTTTTTAAAAAAAAAAGAAAATATTTAATTAATCACACGTTAATGGACCGCTTCGTTTTCCGTGCGCACAGCCTGGGATAGGAACAGAGGCTTCTGAATGCAGCCTCTCTATCAACCTCTCCAAGCCAAATTTTCGTCATTCAAGCACAAAAAGGAGGTCCAACAGACTGACCAACCGGATGGCCAAGCCATCCCGTTGGTCAAACTTGCTCACTGGCTGGCTAGAGTTGGCCAACCAAAACGCCTTGCCAAACGGTGGCCCGCAGCAACGACCGGTCGGCGTGGCGGCTGGTGTACTCCTCACCGCTACCAGCTTCGCCGAGCCTTTCCGCCCCCGCCGAATTCAGCCGACCGCACGACCTCCGCCTCTGCGCCTCGGTCGTCGAGAGCCGCCGCCGCCGTCGCTAGCCTCTGCTCAGTTGCCGTCGCCATCCTCGCCCGACCTCCGATGCCGCGCCCCCCCCCCCAAAGCCGTTGTCGCCGTCACCATCCCCTCCTCGAGCTCCACCGCCGCCCCCCCAAGCCGTTGTCGCCATCGCCATCCCCTCCCTGAGCTCCACCGCCGCCCCCCTCCCCCCCCCCCAAGCCGTTGTCGCCGTCGCTTGCCACCTCCCACCTCGTCCGTCACCGTAGATACGGCAGCTCGATGGCGCTCGGTTGCGGAGAGTTATTGGCGGGGAGAGCGAGAGCACCTCGGCGAGCGTCGGCGTTGGTGGACCGCCTTCCGCCTCCCCACGCCGCCTCCCGCCTCCCGCCCTGCGCTGAGCTATCGGCATCAGCGTGATCGACGAGAAGGAAGGAAAGGGGAAAAGAAGGAAAGAGAAGAAAGAAGGGGGAGAGAGGAAGAAGCGGAGTAGAGGCTGACATGTGGGTCCATTGTTGTTTTGGAGAGGATTAATAGAGAGTCTGTTGGAGTGAGCATTTAGTTTGACTAGCCAAATCAGATGGAGAGTTGGCTACATGGGTGTTTAGAGAACTCTCCAAACACCCATGTAGCCAACTCTCCATCTGATTTGGCTAGTCAAACTAGTAGTTCACTCCAACAGCCTTTCCATCTACCCTCTCTACTTTGACTCTATGACACCAGGACTCATATGTCAGCCTCTCCCTTATTCTTTCCCCCATTCCTTCCCCTTTTCCTCTTTTCTAGCGTTGGCAGGAAGTAGGCGGCGGCAGCAGCAAGCGGGGAGGAGACGGCGGTAGTGGGCGCGGCGGGGAGCTTGCGTCGCGCGGAGGCCGGCGGGCGCGGCGACCGGAGGCGGCGGGCGCGGCGAGTAGCGGCCGGCGGGCCGTGGCGAGCAGAGGCGGTGGGCGGGGGCCGGCGGCCGCGGCGAGCGGAGGAGGAGGACGACAGCCGCGTGGGGGCCGGCGGGCTGCGCCGCGCGGAGGCCGGTGGTGGCGGCGAGCGGAGGCGGTGGGCGGTGCTGCGCGGGGGCCGGCGGCGGCGGTGAGCGGAGGATGGCAGTCGCGGCGAGCGGAGGCCGGTGGCTGCCGTGCTCGAGTTCCTCGTCGTGCTCCTTCTGTGCTTGGTTGCCGTGTGGGGATGGAGGAGATGGGCTCTGTGGGGCCCACCATTGGCCAGCCAAATAGAGTGGCCAAATTTGGCTAGTGGAGAGAGGGTTTTGGCCAGCCGGTTGGAGAGGTTGTTGGAGCACTTTTTTTTGGCTAGAATGGCTAAAATTTGGCTAGGAGAGTGGGATGGAGAGGCTGTTGGAGATGCTCTAACCACTAACCTACCGCTCCATATACCACCATCACCAGAATTGGTTACAAAGTCACTCGACTTGGAAGAGGAACAGTGGTGGAGTCACCAGACTTGGAGATGGATAGAGTGGGGGTCCAAATTGAAAAAAAAAGGTAAAGTTAGCTATTGTGTACATGAAAAAAATAGTTAAAGGATGATATAATATGAAAACTTTTAAGAATACATAGTACAAATTGTAATTTACTTTTTTTTGTCTAGCACAATTAAATTTGAGTTATCCATTAACAGGTAGTCTCGATTCAATTGTGATCTTCTTTTCTCACTGCATGACATATGATGACTATCTCTTATCACTATGTGGCATGGTTCCAACAAACCCATAAAACTATATATTGGTATTTCCACTATATTGTTTTTTTAATTTTTACATATATGTTAATTTGGACTAATATTTTTCTCATAATTGAATAGGTAATAAATATTTTTCCATATTTTCTATAAAATGTGAATAATGCATAGTATAATTTGAAAATTATATTATAAGTATATGTAATTTAGTGTTAAGATATGGACTTGTAGTACTAAAACTGCCGCACCATAGTAGATAGGTAGTCAAATGAACAACCATAACATAAAAAATATGAGAGAATCTATTGTGTGCCACTGATCTTGTCCATGTTCTACAATATACCACTAGGTTTGTCAAGTTCTACCATATACCATCATATTTTGCTTAACTTCTATAATATATCATCGTCGTCCAGTTAGCCTTCGTTAGTACGGTAAAATTTTGTCTTAATGATCGAAATACCCCTGGATAAAACTTCCAAATTTTGATCAAAATTTCTAAAATATTAGATTGTAAAACTTCCAAAATTTGAGACGGACAACTTCTGTGCTAGTTTACAATATGATATTTTGGAATTATTGGCCAAATTAAAAGGGGGCGCCCAACCCCTTCCCCCTTCCCCAGGTGGAGTTCATCGGGAACGGGGTGGGGCAGTAGCCTCCTGGCGAGCGACGGTGACCGTGCATTGGAGGCACAGGGTCAACGTCACCGTCGGTGGAGCAGATGAGAAAAGATGGGAGAGAAAAAAAAAAGGAGAAAAGGAGAACAGGGTCAACGTCCACGTGGTATGACATGTGGGTAAGACCACTATCAAACGAAGCTTTGGACTAGAATGATACAATAAACCAAGTTAAGGGATCTCGATGCGTGATTTGTAAGTTCGTGGATCTAGGTGAAACCTGCTTATAAGTTTATGTATCAGTGGTGTAATTTACTCTATTATGAAATTTGGTCTTCGTAGTAATACAGCGTGAAAGTAAAACTTTAACTCTATATTCTTCCATTGTTCCATCTTCTTCTTGTTTTCTCGTTCTTCTTTATTTCGATAATAATATTGCTAGAGTCAAACACTATTACTTACACATGAATACTAGCATCTAGCTCATGTGTGTATGCTCCGTAATATATATTATATATGTTTTTTACATAGGTAAATAATTATTATTATCATTGTTATCGATATTTTATTTATATAAGATACTTGACTAGTTTTTAAAGGACAAGAAAGATATTTTTTTTCTAAACTGTTGATGCGGAAAACACGAAGACACGGGAGATTTGCTTAGCTCTAGTGTAGGTCCTACATTTTGATGAGGTGCGGCCGTGCCAGCTAGTTTGATCCTGCAACTGACAAGATGGATAAATGACAAGATGGATAAATTGATGGTCAAAGAGTCTATCAACCAATAAGCTGATGTAGCAATACTAGCTGATGTCGGTAGGGTTTGAAAAATTGGCTATATATCCGATGTAGATTCTAATACTTAGATAAAAAAAATGGAAGAACATGAGCAAACAATCCAATCAGCTGATGATAATATGATGAAGTAGATGTCCAATGAACCAATCATCAGAAAAATGTAGACTGAATGGTTAAAATAAACATCGGCTGGAAGTCAGATGTAAAGATAACTTATATGTTAGCACTCCGATAAAACAATATACATGAGTTACTAGGGTGGATTAGATCTATTAATCAACAGTAAAAACTAATAGGTCGGACCAAACCGATACAACATTAAGTTACATCAACGAATAAACCTAATAATATCGATAAATCATGTATAAAGTGATGGGCTAAGATAGAAGATCGGACCTAACTGAGACAGTCCCAACTAAACCGATGAGCTTCTAAACACAATGCACTTAAAGATAGAATTGAAATATCAGATACGCAAATATACCAATTGAATCAGAGCAATCCAAGAGATCGAAGCGATGCATCCTAAAAGAACACTAGTGTAGCGATAAATTTGCCAGGGCCAACGGAACTTAGGGCTTACCCCTTCACCGGAGATCGAAGCCAATGCAGCCCCGCGTCAGGTGCCAACTTGCGCCGATGATAAAAACCTCGGAAAAGAGCGTGACGATGCTCCGAGAGTAGTTGTATTGATCGAGAGATAGGTTTACAGGACACCGGGATGGATACTAGTCCTGATCGGACACTAAACAAACTTGCCTGAAGATAAAAAGGAAAATTACTGCACCCTGCCTAATTAACACTAGATAAATTAAATTATCGTGCCGTGGTTTTCATGATTTCTTTTTAAACTCGGTCTCTTCTGGATAAGTTTCCATCGGTTAATTCTGGATAAGTTTCCATCGGTTAATTGTCTCATTTCATTAACAAATCTAGTAAAAATTCTTACTAAATTTG